ATATATATATATATATATATATATATATATATATATATATGACAGCGGTTTACACACCCAATCACTACACCTTCACATTTTGTCGTTTCTGTATTCGGCAGTGGAAATATTTTTAGCAAGGGTCGCCCTTTTATTTTGCAGACATACTCATCAACACTAAACTAGATAGACCACTGTAATCCTCCCTCACAAAGCGCTAAATAACACACTCAGCAATCTCCATGTAAGCGAGTTCCATTAAGTGTTCCAGAGCCAACTTTATCTTGCCCAGCAATCAGGTACAGTAAAAAGAAGGTTATTCTGAGCATTTGCGTCTATACAGAAACGTCAGCTAGCAAGGGGGCAATTTGAGGAAGCTCAATGATGTTGTGTTATCACAAAATTTCAGAGGAAAAGCAATTAGAATTTCCCTAACGATTCAAATTCCTTCTCGAAACAGAAATCCTTTGTTTCTCTGAAAGACTCATTCATGATATACAATGTTCAAGCTGTTTATGCAAGGGTATCATATGAGCTCTCATGGTAAAATCGTTTCCAACTGGAAAAGGGACTTGCACCCACTTCGTTCGTAAGAGTGATCCAAATTCTACAATAATTCATACTTTTCTCAATGAAGCCAATTCCATTCAAAGGGGTAGTGAAGAGTTCGTTTCGGTCGGTTTACTGCGTTTTAGGGAAGTGCATGTGGTTAGTAGGAAGTAATAGCAGAATGTGTCCAGCTCAGTAGTCTTTGCCAATAAGTCATAGCATAACTCGATCACTCGTGACGATCTCGTACTCCCTCCCTTTCCGTCCCCCATTGCTAACATTTATACCTTTGAAAGCATCATTTGCTTGTATGTACTTTTGGCTACATGAGTTTCTAGTGATTGGCATGTTCCATGCCCGAATAGCAATTTCCGTAAAGAGCATCCTTCTAGTAGAGACAAGATAAGGTTTCCCGTAATGAGATTTCATAGAGTGCTTTTCTTTTACTACTATGACGATGACGATTCTCTGAAAACGCGTTTTTCCTCCGACAAGGTATCAATATTGGAAGATTATTACATCGTTATTGAATGAAAACAACGTTCTCAAAAAGTTATTCATCAAGAAACCTACAGAAATGTTGAAGGGTTCCCAGATTAGAATCAGGAGAAAAGGTTGTACTTCTGTTTACAACAGGAAGAAGAACTCAGAAAAAAGGCATAAAGTATTTCTTGGAGTTTTTCCATTTCTTCCATACCCAATTCTTCCTCATTCTCACTCCTTATCTTGGTTTCCCTCGAAAAAATGAGGACGCCGGATATAGAGAAACAGCGGAAACGACTGATGTTTGGGTTGGGAATTCTCTCAATTCCGGGTCACGTAAACGAGAATCATTTCGTTTTTCAACGCTAAGGGCTTTTTTATTCTTATACTTTTTTTCCAATCATCCTTTTCTTTTTGTAACGAGTCAATTACAAATGTTGGAAGAATGAGAAAAGCTGTCTGTCCTGGTTCGGTCATCATTCGCTCCATCAGCGTAGTTGAAAACATTTACTCATCATGCTGCCCTTTAGGTAATGACTGTACTCAGAGTCCAATAAAAGGATAAAGAAAAGCCCCAAATCCTTTCTAATTTGTTTCTTTCTCGTTCTTCTCGGATCTTTCTGAACATGTATAGCATCTCTCGGAAGTGCTTGCATTTTTGAATGACGGGGAGCCCTTTGGAGTATCTCTACAAGGGAAACCCCCTGCTTAAACAGCAAGCGATCTATCCTTCGCTCCTTTCCGTGTCTTGAGCTTCTTCGTAGTTGGATTCTGAACTCACGTATTTCAACAGATTGCCCAAACTCTTTACTATCTGAGAATGATTCTAGACTATATTTTATGACCTTTCCCTCCCCTTTCTGTCCCCTCAAAACTCTGCTTTTCCCGACCAAACTTGGCGTCTTCGCTTTTTTGTTAGTTGAAAGCTTTCGAGCCAATATACAGCCACCAGAAAGATGACTTGCGGCTACGAATTCCGATGAAAACCATGTCTGCTAGCTAATTATTCTTCCAGTTTTCTTATTCAATTCCAGATAGCCTTTTCTCTTGAGAATGTCAGAAAGCTTCTTCTGTTGGCTCATATTCATCATCTATTTTCTTATGAATGAATACGGTTTGCTAAAAATAAATGAGAACAATTCAGGGAAATCATGGCAATTTTCTTCAGGTTGCCGCTTTATATAATCTGTCTATATTAACTCTGCTTTACGGGAATCATCTGCTATCAATACACCCCATAATTTATCGAGAAGAAATTCTTTCGGAAGCTCCATGGTTCTTTATATGAATCCATGCATGAATTTGGTGCCTCAAAGGTAGCCAAATGGCTCGCGATTGAATGCTGTCGATAGCCCAAACCCATTCCAATATGATGATTCTCTTCATTAGGCGATGGAGGAGGGCCCAATAACGCTTCGAGTATTTTTTTTAAACCTTTC